ACACCATCACACTGGGGGTTAAGGCTTCAACATATGAATTAGGGGAGGACACAAACGTTCAGCCCACAATGGTGGGCTCTCTGCTTTACATACACATCAGTGGACTTTTGTGGTGGCTGAGAACAACTGGACCAGGCCCTGGACTCTAGAATACCTGTAAAATGGGGGCACCTGGGTGGCTCAGTCGGTTAGGCATATGGCTTCTGCTAAGTTCATGATTTCATGGTTCATGAGTTCGAGCCCTGCATCAGGCTCTGTGCTGACAGCTCAGAGCCTGGAACCTGCTTTGGATTCTGTGTCTCCCTCTCTCTCTCTGCCCCTCCCCCGCTCATGCTCTGACTGTCTCTTGAAAATGAATAAACGTTTAAAAATTTTTTGAATAAAAACACACAAATGATCATCAAGATGGAAACTGAAAACAAAGATACTCGAGGAGAAACACCTCTTGAAAACTCTATGAGCTTAGACTGTGGCCCGCTACCTCTCTCTTCATTGACTTTTTTCTTAAGTGCCTCCCTCCAGCTATGAAATCCTCGGACATGTGGTCACTGAGATGCACCTGTCTCCCACACCTGTCCCCTGCCCAGTGGACCCGAGGGAGCTGGTGCGTCAGGGCCGTGCCCAGCTTGCCTGGTCTGCTGAGGAGACTGTGTGAACCACACTGCCACCGTGTGGACACTTCTGCTGACAACGGCTGCCCCGCTCGGCCACCAGCTGGGTTAGAGCCCCATGTTGCATTTCGATGGCCTAGACTAACTGGCTGGTCTGTAGGGATTGGTGGTGGGAAGAAGAAGCAGTCTTGAGTCAGATCAGATCCTTGCTAGGGGCAATATAGCACTTGTAAGCTTCTATCTATCTCCTATTGTTTGGGGGACCCTGGACAAACCACTTAGCCCCCATGTGCCTCATTAGGGGGCACAGACGGGGGCTCACAGGGTTGTAGGATTGAGTTGATACGTGTAAGGTGCTTAGAACAGCATCAGGTGTTGGGTAACTCTTCAGTATATCAACAGCTTTCAAACCCTCTGACCATGAGCCACAGTAAGAAACACATTGTATATCACAACCCTAGGACACACAGACCTAGACCTAACACCAACAACTGTTCCAGTCTTTCCTGCAATCTCCCGGCCCCCTATGGGGAAGGCATAATTCTTCCCATTTCTCAGATGAGAAGCCTGAGGCCAAGAGGTGAAGTCACTGTGGGATGAGGATAAACAGGACTGGTCCTCCTTCGGAATTCAAAATGTGAACTGAGCAGGGACAATGGCCTTTCAGAAAATGCATCGGAAAGGAGGAATAGGATTAGCAGGTGACTGGAAGAGGTGCTGGAGCTACAGAAACAACAGAAGTGAAAACGGACGAGGGGGAAGCTCCCCAGCCAGACGGCATCTGGAACTAGCAAACACAGCCGCACCAAGGGATGCTGACCTCAGGTGCTCCCACCGTGGATTACCACTGTTGGCTCCAGCCCTGGGCACGGGCAGAGGCAAAAGCGAGAGATCAGACAGGGCAGGGAGGGCCACGCCTGCCCGTGCTCTCACCTGGCCCCCTGCCTGTGGTGGACAATCTATTTAAAGTGGAAGGCTGACACAGCTGGTGATGGCCAGGGGTTGTGGGTCTATTCCAAAGATTCTCTCACCCACCCCAGAGGACGTGCACGCCAGGGGAGTGAGGGAGCGAACCTGTCAACTGCACAAAGAACAAACAGCGTACTATGGCCAAGACGAAGGGGAAACAGACAAAAAAAACATGGCAGCGATTTGGGAAGGGTATAATGGAGCCACGTGATATGGTGGAGACAATGGGATTTGGGGTAAGAAGGTGTGATTTGTGCTCCTGCCGTCTGTTCATGGGACAAATAATCACGGAGCACCTGCTATCATGCACCAGGCCCGGACATAAGCCATGGAGAGACAGATGGACCCTTTGGGAGATGACAGTACAGTGAGGAGTGAGGAACAAAGAACAGACAATATTTTGTAGTTTCCGCACCAGTAGCCCGATCCCCACCGCTCTGGTCTGTGATCGCTGCACTTTGGGGAACTGTGCATCCCCCTCGTAGCTTTGCTGTGTTCGTGGTTATCTTTGCGGACTTCCCAACACCAGAGTAAGTTTTTCTGCCAAAATGAGAGGTTCTTGGTGCCTTCTAGACTTTCCACACCTCCCAACGTGGGAGGATTGTGAAACTTTCCACAAGACCGCTTCCCTGGCCTCTCCATCCTTCTGGTGTTGGTTTTTCTGGGTTTGACACAAGCCCACGAGATGTCCTCCAAAGCCTCTGACGGTCTACCCATCTCCTCTCCAGCCCACTTTAGTTAGACTGCATCACTGTGAGGCCACCAGCCCTTTCGTCTGAATTCTGTGAATCCCCACCCGGCCTGCCTGTGGGTGGAACCTGGACGGTGCTGTCACCCTCCTGTCATCTCCCCCCACATCCCAGGCACTGGCTGTTTTCTGTGAAACTGGGAGTGAACACGTTCGGCTTTGAACTGGCCCTGAGGAAATGGGTCAGGAGCTGTGTGGGCAAGAGGGAAGGCTGAGAGCCATTGGAAAACTAAGAATGAATTTTGTTTTAGATTTTTTATTTTTAAGTAATCTCTATACCCATCTCTACCTCACAACCCTGTGATCAAGAGTCACCTGCTCCTCCAGCTGAGCCAGCAGGGTGTCCCGAATTTTTTTTTCTTTTTAACATCTTTCTGTATTAGTAATAAATGCAGTGGAGACAAAACAGACGGTAACAATACAGAGTGCTGAGTGTGGTGGCTGATGTACAGAGGCACAGGGGCTGCGGAAGGTCGAAGAAGGGCATCTCCCCCGCTAGAGGAGGCTCAGGAAAGGGTCTCCAGAGATGATGCCTAGTCTCTCCCTTGGAGAGTAGAGGACAGAGCCTTCCGGTCATAGAGCAACTACAAAATCCAGGGACTGGAGCGACATTTAAGCACACTCTGGAGCTGTATGGGATTCCCAGTGGCTGGACTAGACTGAAACGGAGGTGTAAGAAGGGGCTGTGCCAATTTACCTGCCTTGTGACCTTGGACAAGTCACGTAACCTTTCTATAAACCGCTCCCTGAGATATCCAAAGACAGTGTTTAATAAACATCTATCGAACATCCTCGGAGTCAGGCACTGTATCAGATTGGTGGGCATATGGAGTCAAATAAAAGCGACAAATTCCTACTCTCAGGAAGCATAAAGTCTAGGGGGAGAGGCAGACACCCACAATGTGTTACATAAGAGTTTCGAACAAAGCACTACAGAGAAGGAAACAATTACTGCTGCTCAGAGAAGTGATGAGTAGGTGTTCCGCCAAGGGGAGAGAGAAAAGAGCATTTAAATTAAGCATAAGGCAAGGAGGAGGGAAAAGGCAGTGATGTATTCATAGACCCGCCAGGCCACGAGTGGTTGTAATGTAAGGGAGAGGGGGCGGGGGGAGACAAGAGATGGCTGTGACTCCAGCCTGGGCCACACAGATACTTAGCCCCTGTTGTCCAGGCCAGCGACGGTGGGTGCGAAAGGAAGGCCCAGGCTCAAACAAGTTCACGGGTCCCCACACCTTACCCGGGGCCTCAAAAGCAGGCCGAGTACCACCACCACCTGACATCTTGTCCAAGCCCTGTTCCCCAGCAACTCCGGAGACAGGCTTGAACCACGCCAGCCTTTCATGTCACGTATTGGGAAACCGAAGCCCCCCGGGCCAGGGTGACTTGTCCAAAACCACTAGCGGGTACAGTTGCGTGTGACAGACAAGGGCCACAAAG